AAATTAATTTTGAATAATTAAAATAAAAATAATATAATTAATTTAATTATTTGTTTTCTAGTTTTAATTTTCTTTTATTTAATTATATGCTTTTGTAATGATAATTATGTCTTCTGGATTTGATATTTTATTTTTTGAAAATTCAGTTTAGTTGTGTTTGGTCTGATGTTTCGTATTTTACTGATAAACAACCAGTACTAGAAACATTGTATCTATTTGCCGACCTTGATTCAGATCTAGTAAGATTCCTAGTAAACAAGATTTTTCATTCAGTGGAATTAGGCCATACCTGGGGTAAGTGATAATTATCATTTTACAACCTTCTACTCCTTCTGGAAGGTGGACCACGTGATCCTCATACGGGAATCTGTTTTACGTCATACTTAGTGTATAACTGTTTTCATCATAAGAAGTAGCCAGTTGGGATTAAAAATTTGACACTTGAAATTTTTTGGTTGTGATCAGTTTAAGTTGAAATTCTTTGTTATCGAATTAGTGATTATTTTCCTCGGAGAAATATATAAGTGCTCATATAGAACTCTTAAACAAAGACATTCACTTTGTATTTCATCGGGACTAGAACTCAGATTCATTAAGGACTTTTACCAATAGAACTTCTAGTTTTTAAGTTTTGGATTAATTTTGGATTCGATTCAGGTAGGTTCAAGGGAGAAGACTGTCGTTAGTGTTGATAACATAAGCTTGGTGGTCTTTAGGTTTGCGATGAGGGCGTATATCTTTAGCGCACACGACAGGATTCCAAGAAGCAGTGTACGAAATGTTGTTCAAAAGGTAATATAGTTCCCTGGTATCCATTTATCTGTTTTGTTGTTTCGTCTTGTTTTTCACAGGTTTTGATTAGTCATGAATTCAGTTTTGACTTTTGCCTGAAAATCTCTGACAAGTATCCGTTTGTACAGAACTATGAGCCAGGAGAGCTTTGATGTGATGAATCTCTAGAGCAATCAGTGGAGGAGAGGAATTTGTACCACTGATGCAACACTGACTTTTCCGAGATGACACCCCAAACGCCCTCCAGATACTCGTCCAATGTGTCTTCTTGACTCATCATCAGACATTTATCGTGTTGAATTTGGCTGGGTAGATCGTTTTGACATCCATAACAATCTTTTGTAGTCAATTCCGTAATTTGTTCAGCCAGGTGTATGTTAAAACAGGAGACTAAATGTTGTTTTTGTTCTGGCCATCTGTAAGTATCACCACGTCTTCTTTATCTTTGACTTTGTGTTTTTTCTTCTCCTATATCCTCCCATTCCATTTCCAAAGAGTCTCCATCGTTTAAAGAGGGATTCGTGTCTTCCGTAGCTTGTAATAGACTAAAATGACATTTCTCAAACAGTTGATCTCTATTATATTACAAATTCGACATAAAAAATGACGTTCACGGCCTTGGTTAGAGCCTTAGCAAACTGAAGTTCCATACGAATCTGGCCGGATTTTATAGGAGGGAAATGACACTCGTTGCTGTATTGGCCAAGAGTAAAATCAAAAGCCAATAAAGCGTGACCTTCCGCATTATAGTCGTACGAAATGCCGTGACTGGTGTTAGTTTCTATCTATTCGGTGGCTTCATACAGGGACAAGTACAATCTCAAGTAATTCTTCTTGTTAAAGTCAGGTTCGAAGTGTCTAGTACGCAAGTTATTGCCATCGCGACTGACTTCAATTTTGGACAAAATAAATTTTAAGGTGGGTTCCAATGAAGGTTGCATTGCTAACGATGCCAACGATTAATCCCTTGGGTAACTGTCGTTGGAACAGATGATCTTCAATCTTGGATCTGAGTCCAGTGGGGATTGATGAAGTGTTTCACTTCCACGCATGGTATTGAATACCTGGCGGTCATTCTGCTCAAAGTGTGATATTCCAACTTTAGGTAACACATCCACACGTCATACATAGAGTCGGGATTATTGGATGATGTCTTTGGAAGTGGCAATATCAGTTATCAAATGGAAAGTTGTACGTCTAAGATTCAGTCCCAGGCAGACATCCAAGCTGTTCAGCAAACACTTCTATTGTAACCACATGCAAAATGGCACGCGATCCATTAATTCTAAACATCAACTTCCAGAAATGTCCTTTTTTCGCAATCTTTTTTTCAGCTACCTCATCGAGATTGCCCGATGTGTTAGGTTTCCTTACCACGCAGGCATCCGAATATATGTTCTTGACCTATTTTCAAGAGAATTTCTAGTTAAGCTCGGTAAGGGTAAGTATCCCTACTGCTGCTGCTGCTGACCAGTTTGTTATTCAAGTACAAATACGCATCGCTGAAAAAGGAATGCATGAAATTCTTGACGGGGTCTACTGGCTTATCGGTGTGTAGTTCTTCAGTACCGTCCCCTTTAGCTACTTTGACTTTCAAGTATGAGTAACTGCTCTTCAAACGGTGTAAATGTTCAGGCTGTGGAGCTGAGGCTGTCAAACAGACGACTGGATGGCATTCTATCCATTGAGTTTCTTGGATCATCATCCTGGTGGGTGGAATGGCAAATAAATCCATTTTATTTAACATATAAAAGATGATATACATACTGCGTGCTTGTCCTATTCGTATCCAGCACACAACAGTAGATATACATACTGCATGCTTGTCCTATTGTATCCAGATCGTTGTAAATTAAACGGCATATAAATTATTGCTGCTACGCCTAATAGATGACACAGTGGTGACTATATTTTCATGATACATCCTACACCTAAAAGCGTATGCATATGTATGTGTATGTATGTATGTAGGTAGGTAGGTAGGTAGGCAGGCAGGTAAGTAGGTAGTATTTAGGTATGCATGGATATATGTATTTGCCTGCCTGTCTGTCTGCATGCCTGCATGCATGCGTGTGTGTGTGTGTGTAGTGGTGTATGTCAACTGAAGTTAAGGTATCCGATGCATGATAACTACGATAATACTGGTACAATAAGTTGGTGATGATGCTGGTGGTAGTATTAGCAGCAGCAGCAGTAACACTAACCCTCTATATAAAACTATCTCTTCTAAAACTATGATCAGGAAACTGAGTGATTTAAAAGTTATGCATATGCATCACACCTTATAAAGTCTTACACGTGAATTATAATGCTAATTGTAAGCACCTTAATAATGCAGGCAAGAACAATGTCTTTCTAACGGAGGTTATACAGTAACTTTTCCATAAGTTCTTTTCTTGGTAGTCAGCAATTTGCTTCTTGCCCAGAGTATTGTAGTGTCTTAAAATTTAATTTTCAGCGAGCAAAGCTCCTAGATTATATTATTTGTTCCAGAACTTATGACATCAGCCATGTAAACCAAGTGTGGGCCAAATACGGCCCGGTGCCCGGATCCTGCCTTTATCCTTTAATTTACATCCTGAAATGCGGTTGTAAAAGTCACTTATCCAGCTCGCGCCCTGGAGGTTGTTGCTTTGAATTGGGTTGTTGCTTTGAATTGTCTCTCGGTTTTGTTTCTGAAATCATTGCGTGATAAACCGATTCTAATAACTACTAGCGAATAATAAGAATAATTACTTGACTTCTGACCAATGAAACAATCCTATCAGTAGAACCAATGCATTCCAAACGTAAGTAATTTATATCAATATTTCTGTACAGTTGAGTTGATAGCCTCTGATCGTAGAAGAATAACACAGACACGGTAGATTCTTGGCTGTGCTCACCCTTAGAATTCCAAAATATTTATACTCTTCTAAACAGAATTTACAAGCATAAAGGGAACGACTTTCAGAAATATAACTGGTGTCAGAGTGTAGTTATATCTTCAAAATTATTTCATTGAACTTGCACCATTAAAAGTTACTAGCTACCTGTCAAGTTGATGTTTCTTCTAAATTACAAAAAAGAGAAATAATATCACTTCCAATTTTTTGAATTTTCGAACATATTTAACATATTTAACTCCACTGGCTGCAACACAAACTATTAGTTTAAGTAGGTTTTGTACTTCCACTTCTACAAGAAATGGGATGTTTTACAACATAAGTTATCATTTTGGATAGAAATTGAGAACATTTTTTAAAATATTTAACTGATTCAGAAATTCTGATTTTCAAGTACCCAAAGAAGGGAACAACCGGAATTTCGCTGTAAGAACAGAACTGAATTGAAAACAAGAAAAAACTTATTTGAGTAACATAATCTTCTCTATTTTCGAACATTAATCTGACTTCATTATAAACGAAGCCTTCAACAATTTATGTGATACATGCCATTATAAAGTTCGCGAAAATATGTCATCAGGGGACAAACTGAGTAATGACGCTGCGCATATATTAGACTTGCAATGTACACTACGGCACTCACCTGGCCCGAGGCTTCGGTATAAATCCTCGACGTAAACTCGGAACATTGAACAAAGCTGGTCTGGTTTTGGTTCGATTTTAAGTGGTTTTGTCTACTTCTCTTTGATATGTTCGCCTCTGCTGCAACAAACGAAGATTTATAATGGCAGGTGAGCCAATACTAAAGTCTGTTAGAATACCCATGCACTGGTACCTCGATGGTTTATTGTTCTTTAATTTACTAACACTAGGGGCAAAATAAAACACCATTTGCCACTTTGGTTACTTATACCTGAAGTGCGTTAGTTATGTCTGAAACAAATGTGATGTACCAGCTCTTTCTGAAGAGAGAATTCCACTTCAAAACTCATTTAATTACTTAGATCCCTCATAAAAATCCAGTTTAAAGTAACAAGTGCTTTCAACTATAACTAAACTTTCTATGAAAGGAATGTTGAAGTGTGTCGGCAAAGAAAAGTGTCCGCAATTTTAATATTTTTCAGTCATATCGCTACAATGTATGCAGTTTGGCAGTTTATATTAATGTCTAGCGCACTATGGGCATCATGCCGCAGACATGTAGCATGATGTTCCACACAGTCATATTTTCCGGACACCAGGCCGACCAGTCCTAACACTAACCTCTTAATGCTGAGCGTCAAGCGAGGCAACTGTTAGTACCATTTTTGTAAGTCTTTGGTATGACTCGACCGGGTATCGAACACACGACCTCTCGCATCTGAGGCGGACGTTCAGACCACTAAGCCACCGGAACCAAAGAAAAAGAAAACAAAATGAAGGAATTATTTAGCTTTACGGACCTGAGAAACTCACCTATATCGTACAAATTCTTAAGATATTTGCGCCATATTTAGATGTTTCTTTTAGGATGATCTAGGTCTTTCAAATTTTCATCTCTGGAAGATGTTGATTAAAACGTTCCTCTTGAATTCGCCATCCGTTACACTATTTCTCATTCTATTGTTTCCAAATTATTTACCTTTACAATTTTATAACTTAATTTTCTTCCTGCACCATACACAGTGTTGTGATTTCGAACAGTTTAATATACATACTGTTCCTAGTTTATGCTCTTTTGACAGAAAAGAGTTTGTGAAAACTTTTTAAAATTCAGCAAATAATTAGTTTTCGTAAAACACATTTGAAAATGTAAAACTAGAACTTACGGTATTATGAAGTAAATCCAAAATAATCTTAGTATTTCAGGTGCAAGTCTAATAATGAATGTTCTGGATAAAGTTTAGTGGAAATTCAAATTAAATCAAATACCGAAGGTGTTCATGTCTTTGTTGATAGCTCGTAGAGTGTTGATGTGCCAACAGTATTCTGTTGAAACACAGTAAACAACCCAAAAAGAAATCATTTGAAATTTCAATATAAATTAAGGTCTCTATTTTCAAGAATGTTATCGGGGCACATTTGTATTTCCAAACAAGAAATAATTTACGTAATGCCAAGTTTTAAACTGTACACAACAATAAATTTATTCTATCCTGATATAGAAGCACGATGATAACTTTTCCAGTAACATGATTATATAATGCATGCATGCATACATACATACATACATACATACATACATACATACATACATACATACATACATACATACATACATACATACATACTACATACATACATACATACATACATACATACATACATACATACATACATACATACATACATACATACATACATACATACATACATACATACATAATTTGTGTTACAGCATACATATAGCAACAATGAGTAAGTTTTCAAATAATCAATATTTCTCAGCTACTCATCAATGGTTCAGGCTCCTATCTTTATATCAAAATAATTTTAAAAATCTTGCTTATACGAACATATTTAGTGATAAGTACCGATTGTTTCCCAGATATGATTGCCTGTCCTTTCCGTGCTAACGCTTTTACATGACATTTCATGTAAGAAAGTCAATCCGGCATCTTGATTGGTCAGAATAATTGTTAGTCTGATATTTTGGGATTCGAATTAAGTTTTATGTGGGACTGGATTTAAATAGACGTGGCCGTATCTCCAGGTCTTTGCATTATTGGTCGCACGAGTTCCCCAATAATAATTTTTCTGTCTCTCTTTCTCTCATTCTCTGTCTGTCTTTCTGTCTGTGTCTGTCTGTCCTTTCTGTTTGTCTGTCTATCTGTCTGTCTCTTTCTGTCCTTTCTGTCTCTGTCTCTCTCTCTCTCTCTCTGTGTCTGTCTGTCTCTCTCTCTCTCTCTCTCTCTCTCTGTATATATGTTACAGGTATATATAATCACACGAGAGTATGTAACGAAGATGCACACTTATCTTAATTTTGTACTTTACTACCATCAACAACAATCAGATGTGTTTTATTTCGCTCAGATAATCATACAACATTCCAAGAAACCCAGTGATGAAACATTTTGTCTTTTAACGAGAGTAAGTTTGCAAAGAGTAAAATAACTTACTCGCATTTGGCACAGTCATCTACCATCTTTATAGTGCACAGTCATCTACCATATTTATAAAGCAAAGTCATCTAATATCTTTATATAGCACAGTCATCTACCATCTTTATATACCACAGTCATCTTCAATCTATATTGCACAGCTATCTATCATGTTTATATAGCAGTCATCTATCTTCTTTATGTAGCACAGTAATCTACCATTGTTACATAGCACAGTAGTCTACCATCTTTATATAGCAGTCATCTACAATCTTTGTATAGCACAGTCATCTGCGATCTTAAAATAGCAATCATCTACTATCGTTATATAGCACAGTTGTCTACCATCGTTATATAGCAATCATCTACCATCTTTATATAGAACAGTCCTCTAAGATCGTTACAGAGCACAGTCGTCAACCATCTTTATATAGCAATCATCTACCATATTTTTGTAGGACGGTTATCTATTATCTTTTTATAATACAGTCATCTACTATTGTTATATAGCACATTCGTCTACCATCCTTATATAGCACAGTTATCTACCATCTTTATATTGCAGTCATCTATTATCTTATGTAGCACAGTTATCTACCATCGTTATATAGCAGTCATCTACCATCTTTATATAGCACAGTTATCTACCACCTTTATAAAGCAGTCATCTACTATCTTTATATACCAAAATCGTCTACCATCTTTATATAGCAGTCATTTACCATCTTTATATAGCATTCATCTACCTTCACTATATAGCACAGTCATATACCATCTTTATATGGAACAGTCATCTACCATCTTTATATAACACAGTCGAGAATAATCTTTATCTTTAAAAGAAAGGTATTATTGTAGTCTTCGAGGCACAGGCAGTCATATCTTTAAATCTTTGACAATTACAATAATGACGAGGGAAAAGAAATATTCTGTAACCTAACAGTTAAAATCTAATTTTTTTAAGAATTAAAGTCCAATACTAAAAGAAGAAAACCACCCCATTTTGATGGGACAAAGTGGCCTTCGCCTTCATATCAGCTTTGATTTTGGTGCATTTTGTCTGATAGCCATAAACCAGAAATCTGTAATTAAGTTACATTGCCTATCTATAAAAATATGTATTCATTCGTATACTAATACGCTACCTCAAATCATCTGATATTTCATAGCAAAATTTGTGAAGGTACTTACCTGTGCTTTATTTCAGATAGCATCGTAAAGTCTTGCAAACCCACCATAAAAACCAATTGAATTATTTAGTGCTATATCTGTGCCCATATTAAAGCTGAAATCTCACTTTTGGCATATTTCGAAAATTCAGAAACACTTAATGAAGATTGTATTTTCGAAGATAATTTTTTTAGATATTAAAAAAATACGTTCAAATGCCGGCCTATCTTGGGATAAATGCCAATTAAGGTCAGCTTTCTTCCTTATACTATGTATCAACATCTGTAAAATAGAATTATGCGAAATGACGCAACCATTTTTGTAGTCTTCGACGCACAGGCAGTCATATCTTTAAATCTTTGACAATTACAATAATGACGAGGGAAAAGAAATCTTCTGTGGCCTAACAGTTAAAATCTATTTTTTTTTTAAGAATTAAAGTCCAGTACTAAAAGAAGAAAACCACCCCATTTTGATGGGAAAAAGTAGCCTTCGTCTTCATATCAGCTTTGATTTTGGTGCATTTTGTCTGTCAGCCATAAACCAGAAATCTGTAATTAAGTTACATTGCGTATCTTTAAAAATATGTATTCATTCGTATACTAATACGCTCCTTCAAATCATCGCCAAGGCAGCACCACAAAGTAAGGGCAAACGGAATATCACTCAACCATTTCAGTAGGATTAATTTAAATCCCGAGCGTTGCAAGTGAACCATTTTCGAACTATTTCTAGAAAAGATAACTCTATCGTACCGGTTGCTGTGGTTGCCGTTCCTTTAATGAAAGGAGCCTTTACTTCTAGCAAATTGTCTGGAATTGATGTCAGTCTCTCCGCCGAACACTGTCTTTATCTCTTTCGGGTTGACAAATAGACCAGTGAACTTGAGGGATCAAAATCATGATAAAAAGTGCATATTGTCCCTCGAATTCAACCCATTGTTTAAGTTTGATTTTAAAGAAGACTTAATTGTTCTCACATGGAAATAGTTTTATTATTTAATTATTAGTGTCCTGTTCCAAGTCATATCGTGATATACATAAATCATGTACGGAAAACGAAACAACACAATTTGTGCTAGTGTTTTTCATGGAAAATGTTTTCATGGACTTTCCGCAATTTAGGAAACAAACTATTATGTAGTCATTGTCGTAATACGTAGTCATCATTTTCTACCGTTTTCACGTCTGTAAAGCTATAGTTTCAATTTGGTGCCTTTTGTCAGCAAACAAGCCTTCTTACAGGTTTTCAGACATTTTTAATCTCGATCCTGTCCTTAGCTCCATTCCGTTAAACCGAATTTTATAACTTAATTCATGGTTGCGCAGTTCATATGTGCCACTTCCACAACTGTTTACTACACTCACTATATAATTTAACAACTTTCTCCAACCAAAACGTTTTCCTCGCCACTGTCGTGGAGATGCCTCGCTTGAAATGAATTCGAACGATTCCCGCTTCGAACATTATTGTTATGAATATTAAGGGTTTAACATAAGATTCGTAGTATGTGTGACAGTATTAGAATCTTGCATGAAGCTTGTTTTAAATCTCGCTTACATGAATGTGGCCGCAAAAGAACTTACCTAAGATTAGTAAAATACTAGTAATAGAAGACTGTGCAGTTTACCCTGAAAAAGGTCCTGTATATACTTTTACTGAAAGTTAAATGAGAGTTCTTTCTTTCAAATTGCTGCTTCTGACAAGTGTTATCAATTGCATACCTTATCCTTTGCTTAAAACTCAATGAAAATACATAATTTGGATGGTGTTTTACATTTTGAACTACTTTGGCATAGATATCATAATTCTTCAGTTTTTATTTCGATTTGAATTAGCCAAAATTTCGTTTGCTCCTTTTGTGAGTGAAATCGTCTATTCCTTTCAAAAGGTCAGATTTGGTGAAATAGTTAGCATTTCCAATGCTGAAAATGCAGTCATTAATTCCTCGTAATGGAAATGAATCTGGTGACACTATTCACTTTTTATAGACAATACACATACGGAAGGAATTATGTGCTTTATACACAAAATATAAACAATGAACTGCGTTAACTTTTACTTGGTTCTAATAAACCACTCTCCAAAAATAATGAATTTCTTTCTCAAACATTCCTGCTTGAGAAAATTCATCCAGTAAGAAT